GCCACTATGGACTTGATTCTATTCCTTTGCCGCCGCTTTGAATGAGAAGTTCTTTTTTGTTCGATGAACTTTTTGCCCTAAAAGTGTTTTTTTTTTTTTGACAAAATAAAAAAGTGTTTGGTTTTTAAGGATACATGGAAGGGTGGTCCATATGCGTTGACCTTTTTCGTCACAAAACTGGAATTAAATTAACAGACGAATGGGCTTATTGTTGGGCTTTTTCCCAATTTTATGTCAAAAAGTTGAGAAACAACATAGTGAAGTTTCACACAAGAAACGAGATTTTTCCGCTTCCTACAATCAATCAAGATATTATGCAGGATTCTCTTGTCTTTTTCGGAGACAGATTTTGTCAACTCCTCCTACTCAAATTGCCTTATACTAGAATAGAATAGATCCATCCCATATTGATAGCAATCTTTTTTAATCAACCTTTCAGCTTCCTTAGTACTCCATCTATTTTTTTTATATGTCTTTCTAGAGAATTTATCAAAACCAATAAGACATTAATTCAGTTAGTTAAAATACAAAAACAACCATAATAATTATCTACAAAATTCATCACAAACCAATAGAAATTCATTATAGATATTATTTCATTTCCAATGCAAGGGCAATTTTGGTAAAAAGTGGTCAAATGTGCCTCAATTTGTGAAAACGACATATATTCAAAAAATTCACCAAACCCTAAAACAACATATATTTCAAAATGAAGGGAGTATATCACCAAAAAAATAAAAATAAAAAATCAAGATATTATACAACATCTCTAACCCCTATATTTCTAGATAATACTTCCTCTCTCCCAAAAAAAAGTCTACGTTGAGTTTTGAATTTTGTACTATTTTTAGAATAAATATGAAAAACTCAATGTAGACATTTTTTGGGACGGAGATGGTATAATTTTGAAATGAGATTGTGATTCTGGTTGGAGACATTGTGATTAGAATATCGAAGATCCCTTATCAGTTTGTTGATTATGTAAGTTCAACAATAACTTTTTTTTTTCATGTTGGGATCGAACGGACCTCTAACAGTTTTTTTTTTTTTTTCCCTTCTGATAGGTCTTTTAATTTTTATTTTATTTTAGAGGGTTTTGTTTTAGCAGCTTGAATAGGTGCATGGATAGTGACATGAAGAAGAGGTTTTTTGTGTAGCGTGTTGGTAATCAAGTTTGCAATTTTTGTGATGAAGATTATATTAAGGAATAATTGACGAACCAACAAAATCACTTTATTCTGAAGGTAAAAGATTCTGATTCAACACTATAATATATACTCTCTATTTGACAATTTCTACCACCTTTCTATGTTTGAAAAGTACAGAACAAAGTCACATCCATGAGACGGCAGATGTAATTAAGACAAGAATGATAAGTATGGCGGGCAGGCCGTGGGAGGACATAAATCAGATAAGTATTTCTTCTGTTTTTATCTTAAAAAAGGAATCCTCTTGAACTATTTTAGTATATAAAACAAAATACTTATTTTAATACGGAGATCGGAAATAGTATAGAAACTCCATGGATTGTGTTTTAGAGACTATTAGAATTGAAGGATGAATTAATGAAAGCACCTTTGACGTCCATATGGAACTTATACTAGCATAATTAGAAAAGATATGGGTAAGGCATATATATTTTGGTAGCAAATATCTAAACAAAAATGGGGGAAAAATAGTACTACTATTATTTGGATTCAAATATTATGGGCTGTTGCTGTGGTTTAAAAGAAAATTAACGCTGCTTTGAATTTCCCCGACTACTACTACAAGTACTACCATAAAAGTCTGTACTCTAGTTTTTTGAACAATTTGTGCAGATATACATAATAATGCGGCGGAAAAAAATTATAATGTCATCATTAAAGTGATCAACGTGCTGCCGGTCCCTTCTCTTCATATACACTCAGATATGATACGTGTTTTTTCGAATTAAATGGCGATTGTACGATTAGAAATTATTTAATTACTATTGAAAATTAACCAGCTCATCAAGGTTTCTCATTTAACAATATTGGCTGCACAAACTGATCAAACTCCAATATATAAATAATCATTTCTTCTGTTAAGAAGAAAATCGAATATCGATGGACGATGTCTAATGTTTCTTCAAGTACGAAATGAAAGGCCCTTTCCCTCTGTAGGAGTTTAATTATTAATTATTTAAACATAACGCATGAAAGGCTTCCTTATCACTAGCTAGTTTGATTTTCACCTGAAGCTAGATTTGAGACAATAGATTTGAGAAGAGTAAACATAAGTTGATGGTACGACAGAATTTAATTAATTGTGTTTAAATGAAAATTATTAGTGTGGAGGATCAATTTCAGTTAATTAATATTCCGCGTAAGACTCATATATTAGGAAGTTTGGTGTAAAATGTACGGTGCGTAATGAATGTTCTTTAAGACCTTATATAGAAAAATAGCTGGTTAATCATAGGCAAAACTGGCAGATTATTGATGAATGCCATTTAATTTGTTGTTGGGGAAATTTACGCGTGAAAAACCAAAAATGAAAGAAAAAAGAAAAATGGCAGATTATTAGAAGTAAGTTACCGACGTCGATCATCATCCTCTTTTCCTTTCTTTGCCGTACAATTAAAGAAACAAATACTTACCAGCAAGCATTTGATCAAAATGGTAAAGGTATTAGATCAACTTAATTATGACTTGGGTTCGAACCGGACATAGAAATGCGACAATGATTAAAATACTTACCTCCTCAAAAAGATTTATTCGTTTCGAATTCAAATTAATCGGAGCAATGATTTTAGAAATTGGATGCGTAAAAAAACACAAATACTTAAAAATATAATTAAATTAGCCCGTTACTAATATGTTACTCTTATCACATCGTGCTCCAACTACAATTTAACTTTCTCAATGCTGCCTAAGCTAGTGTAACCTTCATAGCCGATGCATGCACGATGCACTACTATTGTGGCCGAGTAGTCACATTCTTGATATAACACATGGAGTAGAGCGCTAAAGAACAACAAATTTTGAATTTCATCCTCTAAATTTGGTTGTCTACTACATTTTGCAATATATTATATATTTGACATACCAAAATATCCTGGTTAACTTCATTATAAATCTGGTCAAATTTGTAAAAGATATTACAAAACAAAATGTAAATTACAATTTCAGACAAATATTAATTTATTGGACAAAAAAATCCAGTTACCTATACATTATGACCAAATTTAGGATTCAGTCTACCACAAATGTGCAATTCTAGAATAAAGAAATGCCATCCAAGCATGTCTTCGAACTAATAAAGCATTTTCTCCCTCTCTATAGTGTTTAATGAGCATATTAGGCACAATGGAGTGTACTCCTCGATTTTTATTTTTAGCACAAAAGATTCTAAAAATGAATATTTAAGCAGAATAATTATTTTGGGAAAGAGGGAATACAACCTATACACCTGAGTAATGATTGTGATTTGTGCCTGAAATGTATATGTATATACATCTGAACCTTTAGTCATGTTGAATGAAAAAATCAGAACGGAGTTTGGGGGACTAAATTGAAATTCATTTAAATGGAGAGCTATAAAGAAACATGAACTGAAATTTGTTTTTTCCTTCTTTCTTTCTTTCCTTTAAATGGATGGTGCTTTCAGGGGGGTAAACCTATATTATACACGTGCTAATTCTTTCTGATCAACAGGGAAAAATGATGCGGATATCCAGTCGATTCATTGATTTGGGTTGTTCTTCACGTCTCATCTGCAAATTAATAACGGTGCATGGGATCCTTTTCTCTTTAATGACATTTTGGTACCACAACTAGTTCTAGCCATGTAATTGGAAAGATTCAATAGAAACATTCGTCTGTGTGTACATATATATATATATATATATATATATATATATATATAGTGACTTGGTTCCTGCCCAAGCCACAAAGTCACTTCCATTCTCTCATTTTTTTCTCCCAATTTGATCTTCTCTAGTTTACTTCTTTTAGCTGCTACCTAGCAAATTAATAAATAAATAAAAGAAAAGACAGAGAAATTCTAGTACGTTGTAACGTCCTAGTCCGAAAGTACAATAATGGGAAGATCGCCATGCTGCGAGAAAGTGGGATTGAAGAAAGGGACATGGACACCTGAAGAAGACCAAAAGCTCTTGTCTTACATCCATCAACATGGTCATGGCAATTGGCGCACCCTTCCGCCCAAAGCAGGTAATATATATGGTACTTCTTCTGATTTTGTTTATACGGCACAAATTTAAATTAAATTTGCTTTGAAAAGATCGCTAGGATAACCTTTCTTTGTTTTTTTTCAGTTTTTTCTTTAGAAGATTGGAAAGAAGTATCATGAAATTTCCCATGCTATGTACATTGACTAGGGTTGCTAAGATGTGGCAAGAGTTGTAGACTACGGTGGACGAATTATCTTCGGCCAGAAATCAAAAGAGGAAAGTTCAGTTTGCAAGAAGAACAAACCATTATTCAACTTCATGCACTTCTTGGAAACAAGTATGTTAATCTTTAGTCATTAGCATTACACGACAATCTAAGTCTCGAATTTGCAAAAACAGCTTAGAAAGAATATTGATCTTTTACTTTAAGGAAAGAAAAAAAAATTTCGCGTTAGCAGAATAGAGATGAGTTTGAATGTGATGTATATGCGACTAATGGTTTAAACATGAAAGATTTTGGCATCATGATTTCTCATTTTCTGCATGGTATAAATGACATTTCTTGATGATGTTGATCTACATACACAGATGGTCAGCTATAGCATCCCATCTTCCAAATAGAACAGACAACGAAATCAAGAACCATTGGAATACACATCTAAGGAAGAGGCTAAACAACATGGGAATTGACCCTTCAACTCATAAGCCAAAAACTAACCCTTTGGCATCGGATCAGCTAAGAGACACTGCAAACCTTAATCATATAGCGCAGTGGGAAAGCGCTCGTCTTGAAGCCGAATCTAGACTTGTCCGGGAATCCAAACTCTCAGTTCAATCATATTCAATGAGGATGAATGGCAAGATTCCACCACCACCATTGCAGCCTATGGTACTTCCATGCCTTGACATTCTAAAAGCATGGCAAATGACACAAGAATCATTTGTTACTACTACTAATAATGTGTTCTTCAATCCTAGTATCGGAACCCTTGAATCTCCAACCTCCACGTTACACTTTTCCGATAACGTTATGCCACTTTCGGCCATTAGTAAGTATAATATCGAGAATCCAAAGCCATTCACAAAAGAAAATCGTGCAAATATTAATGGTGTTGTGCAGCTTTGTGACATTGTTGATTACCCTATTGATGCTTCTTACTATGAAGATTCACTTAGGCCAGCTCCCAGTTTCATGGAAGGGTTTTATGATGCCGAATGTGCCGGTCCAAATTCGAATAATATTGGTTTTATGGGATCATTTCATGGCAATCTTGAGGATATCTCCAGTGATGGTGGTCTTGAAGACAACAAGAAATATTGGAACAATGTCCTTAATGGAGAGACTAATACAGCTACTTAGGTGCGTTTATGCATTTTTCAGTACTTCTTCCGTTTCAGAAAAATAATTTACTTTATTATACTGTTTTTATTCAATAAAATAGATTTTTTCTTTTGACATAGAGGGAGTATATTTTTGTATCTTTATCCGAAAGCAATGATTTGAAGGCATGGATCACGACGAACAATATATGATGTGATTTAGTCGTAAATTTTTCCCTTACAAAATTGGGGAGGAGTGGGACTATCCCTAGTAGTATTTCAAAAGAAGAAATAAATGCATGTCAGTTCCTTCATTTGAGGACAGTACATGACTAATTAATATTTATGGGGTAGTTTCAATTTTGAGCTAATTATAGGATGACTTTGGGTTTTACCTATTCCTTTGCTCCATTGCGATGCAAAACGATTTTTTTTTTTTTTTTTGATTATCTTCAATGAAACACATCAAATGGCTAAAATTATGGAAACTACATTCTGTTAGTGTGCTACCCTGCGTGTATACATCATAGTTTACATCATTGCCTATTTTTAGGTCGTGGTTCATGCAGAACGATTTTAGTCGACATAATAAGAATCTTATTATGTGATTGATTTATTTATTTATTTATTTTTGACTAATTAGAAGAAAAACATTTCTTCAGTCGAATCAAATCAAGCTTTTGATTGACTAGGGCAGTAGTACTGTTAGTGTTCTAGCTACTACTTGCATATGATACACGAAGAAGTGCACTTCCCCTTTTAACTTTTAATAATCATTCGATTCTTGCCACAAAGTGCAAACCTTTGTCGGAGAGAACCTAACATTAAGTACTATGTTCCGTGTTACATGGTAGTATTTGAGCAGCAAGTACATATATGTTCCACCAACAGGGGTACCTTCCTGAAAAAGGCTATACACGTCACGTCGAGTGATCATTAGTCGACTAAGTAGGATATATGGTTGTCTGATAGGGTTGTTGAAGGGATGCATACAGGAGTATTGAGTTGATTACTATGGATTTGACGATGGAGTTGAGACATGTGGCTCGAGAAATTAATTTTGTACCTGATCATTTAGGTTTTTTTTTCTTTAACCTGATCATTTAGTTTTACTTGTAACAGAACATAAAGTTCTGCAGGTCTTCACAAACTTGTTAATACATTAAGAAATGTGCGTTTGTGACTGGAACACGATAATATTGGGGTTTCTCACGCACATAATGTTGTAGACTAATTCTATAAGACACTTTGCTTCTTTTGAAGTACCAAAAAAATAATAATTAATTTAATCCAAGGTTCAAATTGTATTAAGAAAGAGATAATCTCCAAAAGCAGTTTAACCTACATTACCTAGAAATCACAGACCTAAAACTTCTCTCTACCTATATTTGATATTCTTTTGTATCATGAATTTTGTAGTTAGACTTATAATATTTGTATCAAGAATTTTGTAGTTAGAATTTTGTGTCATTTGTTTAACGTTATGCAATCGATAAATAAACTCTTTACATCATCAATTAATTCATAGCATTAATAATTTAATTTGTAAAATTGAGATTCAAATATTTAAATTTACATTTCAAATTGGAGTGGGAGCTTTTATCTTACCCTATCTTAAAAATGTAAATTGCTAAGAAATCGTGTCATTTGTAATTATTATTGTTTTTATTATTATGCGCACAAGAGAAAGGTTTATACCACAACAAATATTACGAAATCGTGTCTTTGATTGCAAACTGACTGTGCCGGCCGTGCGCAGAGAAACATGTGCGCAGCTGGAAAATACTTTTTTCCATAACCTTGGCAAAGCAGAGCCATTTTCTGATTTTCACGTCGCCTTAATATTTCTTTTATATATTATATGGGTTCCACATTTATAAATGTATGAAAAGTACTCCTTACATTCTCTTGATTAATTAGATCCGATTCTTGAACTTCTTAGATATCCCAAGAAGTACTTACTAGGTTAAAACTATTTTTCCAAAAACACCCCAACTATTAAAGCAACCACTCTTTTAGTATCGAAATGATTGTCCAATTTGATTTTTAATTTTAATAATTGAAAATATGCTAAATTTGAAATTTAAATAGGATAATCTATTTGGGACCGAGGGAGTACAAAATAAATTGGACTGGAGAGAGGTTTTATGTTTTTTTTTTTTTTTTCATGGATCAGGTGAAAAGGGAAAAGGGAAAAAGGAGGGAGGTTTGTTGTGCAACTTTAAAATTTATCATTCGGCAACGGTGCATCTTCCTAGATTAAATGACATGGCATTGATTATTTCTGCAGCTATATAGCTACGACTAGTTATTATTGGCCAATTGGCAAATTATTTAAATGCATTAATGATTTTAGGCATCTGAAAAAAAAAGTAGTTTTTTCCTAACAAAAACCATACGTACAGATCAGTGATCAGCGGTTTAGTTAAGCAACGGAAACCATTTGAGTTTGGAATCAATAAAAGATTTTATATACTGCAAATTCATTCTTTTGACGCATGAATAAACAGATCATCAAAAAATTCAGATAGCAAGTTGTGTATTCTTGAAAAAAAAAATTAAAACTAAAAAAAAACCTTCTTGTTTTTAATTTTAATAAAAAAAAGTACCGTGCTAAAATGGTAATGCACTTTCCTATATTAAATACCTACTCTAATACTCTTTCAAGTTCTTATTATAACGCAATTTGATTTCTCATATATTTCATTTATTGTAATATTCTCTAATTTAAAATAAAATTTTTAAACTACATTTCATATTTATTATGTTTTCTTGATTACTAAAAAATATTTTTAATATTTTATTTTTAATTAGAAAAATACTATAACAAATCAAAATTTTCTATAATAAGCAACGGAAGGAGTATAGATTAGATTTTTATAAGGGCTGTACTCTCTCTCTCTCTCTTTCCTTTATTTTTTTTTTAAAAAAATCCTATTATGTATTTAATCGGCCTAACAAAAAGGGCTGTATTTTAAGAACGGAGGGCATGGTTCTGTAACCTATCTGCTATGGCTAAATGTGTACAGAGTAATGATTACAGGTAGGATCGATGTTGTTATAGCTATCATTACTTGGCTGGCAATTGTGTATGGCTAAATAAGGGTAATATATTTAATACTGATTTTGCTAGATCTTACTTGTGTGACTAAAATTGGATAGTAACATTGTCTTGTATATGACTACATGTAGGAAATATACTGGGTAGGTTTAGTGGCTTTTAATTTGCAGCTTGACTGATATAGTAAGAGTACAGTTTGTAAATGTTGCAGTTTGCACAGTGGATATCCAGAACTTCCAGATGTTAGTCACAAGTGAATCCAAACTCTATTCATGCCAATACATACTGTTAATTTATATATGCACATGAGAGAGAGAGGGAGAGAGTTGCAACTTGCAACGGGTCAAACGAAGACAAATCCATTATTGTTCCTTATTTAAAGAGGCTAAGAAGGAAAGACGAATTATAAAATGAATAATATTTAATACTAATAAGGGAATGTGATGGCATTTTTAGAAGTAAAGGTTATCAGTCGACATTTGAAAATTTAATCTAGCTTAGGACTGGATGGAGTTTATGAGCGTTTTGAAAAGGTATAGCTCTTTTTCATCAATAATTAAAAAAAAAAAGGATTTATAGTTTTAGTTAATTCAATATATATATAAATAAAAATAAAAACAAACAACAACAACAAGTGAAAGACATGGGAAATTGTAACTCAAATTGATCAACGTATAATAAGTTTCATATATATATAAATATATATATATATATATATATATTCCTTTTCAGAAAATAAGTTTCATATATTACTCTTTCCATTGGTGTTGGGCTGAAATCTCAATTGGACCTGTATGAACTCTCAAAGATAGTACTCCTCTGTCCCAAAATTATTGTCCAATTTAAGATTTCACTTTTAGTACAATTTGAACTAAAAATGAAAACTCAAACTGGACAATAATTATGGGATAGAGAGAATATATATATATATAAGCTCTTAAGTGGGTTTTACATAATCATGATAGGACAGTGGCACTGCTGAATCCATTTTTTTGGGGGGGTTAAAATATATAATATTCTCTCTGTCATAAATAATTATTTAATTTAATTTATTTAATTTTTTATAACTTGTACGAAAAAATGAAAAAATCAAACTGGACAAACATTTTGAGATGAAAGGAATACAAAAACGAGTACTTTCCGGTCAAAGAATAAACTTACAATAAGCAGATAGTGATAAACCATGACAAACAAGATGAAGAACACTGAACAAACAAAGAAATGTATGTAAATCCTATCAGTCTATTTAGTTCCTCATAGAAGGTAAGGATTTCTGGTCAAAATGTAGAAGTCTACAGCAGAAAAAGGGAGAGGGAAGGTATTGAAATTTGAAAGTTCCTAATGTCAAAAATACATGTTCGCGCCACATATGAATGGGCTTAGTTATCTAAAGATGTATGGATCTAGAAGTTATTGGGTTTCCCCAAATAATGGAATAGGCTTGATCATAATTCGTACAAGTACCGAAACAAATTGAAGGGCTGAAGTTTCCCACAGGCCCATTGTAAATAACTTTGAGGGAACTTGATGATTGTGACATTTTAATACAAGTATCATTTTTGTCGCACTTTTGTAGTGCATACAGAGAAAACAAAAAAAATACAATAAAATAGAAAAACTAATGTAGAGCAAGGATTTGGACTTTTTGTTTATTACTTCTGTTAAAGACTTCACACAGGGAATTGATTATGAGTCTCTTTTTATAGACTCATAGTACAAAAGTGATAACTACTTTGCTAACCGTAACTATCACTTAAACTAATACGTTAACAGAAGTGATACCTGCCGGGATTGAGTTGATCTAAACTAACTTGCCATCATCCACATCTCTTATTGTTAGAGCATCATCAGCCTTATCACTCCTAGACACCTTATCACTCCTCATACTTGAATTATAATCAGGGATGGAGTCTTGGGAGTTACTTTTACTTTTAACATCCTCCCTCAAACTGAGACGGGGCGAGCGACTCAGTTTGTTT